CCAGCCCCGCCTCCCAACCGCGCAGTCGGGGGCGGGGCTAGATGACGGGGCGGGCCCTGAGGAAAACCCAGCTGGGGAGCTGGGTACCGGCGCACTGAAGTGACCCAAGGGGGCTCAGCCGGTACGGGACGGCCCGAGTGGGACCTGTTTAACTTCCTGGAGGGTGAGGGTGGGGCAGAATCGGGATGAAATTTCTGAGGGGTAGGGTCGGGGTGGCACATGCGTGAGGCTCGAGCCTTCTGTGTGCCCACGCGTGCACGTCAGTGTGCCAGTGCGGACACGCGCGGAGGCGGCCATCCACTTCCTGAACACGAGGGGGAGCGACATGGGAGGGAAAGGAGTCTTCTGGGTTCTGTATCCCTCCCTTACCCCCCAATCCCGGAAAGGGGTCTTGGGGAAATCGGGGTAAAGGACTCCACACACCCACCCTGACAATGGTGACATCATAGCTTTCTGTCCCCATGGCAACGAGTGGTCTGGTCCGGGGTTGTGGTGATTTAACAGCGGGCCTGGACTAGCGCGGACTGAGTTCCTTTTCCAAGCGCTGGGTGGAAAGTTTTGGAGGAGCTGCGTCCTCTGGTGGATGCTTCGGGAAGGCGGAAATGTGAAAGAAAAAGGAAGATAGTGACAGTCCGACTAGAGCCAGAACCAAGCCCTAAACGACTCGATCCAAAGTGTAACAATAATTAAGCCACCTTTTCGCATAGTATCTTTTATAGTTTTAAAGCGCTTCTTTTCCTCGATTCATTTTGTATTTAAACTTTGTTTAAATATAAAATGGATCACCATTTTACAGAAGGGAAAATTGAGGCAAGAGCATTCCCAACCAAAATCCCCGATAGAAACTTTTAAAGAAAGTCCCGGTCTCCATGCTTTCAGTTTGCGTCTTCAAAATCATACTAAATGCGAGTCTGGTCACTGCCTCTGGGTTACTGTACGGAGAATCAATGCCTGAGGAACAGCCTGCTTGGGTTCCCGTCCACAGGTGGTTGGCTTCTCAAATCTGATGTTAGTTCAAGTCTTGATTGTCCTTCAAACTGCTCCTTTAATTATTTTTTAATCTACATAGGTATATTGTGATAAAGTAAATCGAACTATGACCCCAAGAGTGCTTTCACGCGTGTCTATTGCTGACGTTCCTCTCATTTCGTGCTCCGGCGGCTAGGGCTGCCGCGGGCCTGGACCTTTAAGGGACACACGAAGCCCTGCCTTTGGCACCGCCCCCAGCTCGATGCCGAGCCCCGCCTCTCGCCTGCTACCGCGGCTCTTCGCGACTCGCGCCCCGCCCTCCTCAACTCTGTGCCCACGGTCCAGCTGTGCACGCAGGTCGGGAGTCCAAATCATGTCCGCCGAGAACGAGGCTTCGGAGGCAGCTACCATGGTGGTAGCTGCCGAGGCAGTGGCTGGGGAAGACACCTCTTCCCAGCCCCCAAAAGCCGATGCAACGGGAGATCCTCAGCCGCCGGCGGCCCCGGAGAAGGCTGCTACCGCCGCCTCGCAGCCGCCCCTGCGCTACCTGGTGCTCACCGGGTTCGGCGGCTACGACAAGGTGAAGCTGCAGAGCCGACCGGCCGCGCCCCCGGCCCCGGGCCCCGGCCAGCTGACACTCCGCGTCCGGGCCTGCGGGCTCAACTTCGCTGATATCATGGCCCGGCAGGGACTGTACGATCGGCTGCCGCCGCTGCCCGTCATCCCGGGCATGGAGGGCGCGGGCGTCGTGACCGCCGTGGGTGAGGGAGTTAGCGACCGCAAGGTGAGCGGGCAGGCGAGGCTAGGAAGGGGTGGCGGGGCTGGAGGGGCTGCGCCTACGGCGGGGCAGGTGGGCATGAATGGGCGGTGCTGGGGGTGTGGCAGGCAGGAGAAACTGGTTTGGACCCAGGTAGAAGGGCATGGGAAAGGACCCTATGTCCTGTCATTCCTGGAGAACTGGAACTGGAAAGAGGAAGAATGGCCTTATCACCCACTCCCCAACCATTTTCAGCTGCGGCCACCGCCCAGAAATGGGGAGGGGGGAAAAGAAACAATAAGGCGCCCTTGCGCATGCGCAGTGACCTTAGCGCACCCCCCCCCTTAGTAAAACCACACCTGTACCCCGACCGCCAAACACTCCCTGGGTAATTGTGGTCTGTGGCTCTTAGTGACGGTTAGCACCCCACTTTCTCCTGGGAGCTAGAGGTGCTGTGGAGTCGGGATTGGGCGGGGGTGCAGCGGCCATGCCAGAGTCCGAGTCACATGCAACCCCGTGGTCTGCGGGGGTGTGTGGTGGCCCCTCCCTGAGCAAGGTCTAGGAGATGGGACACGCCCTTCATGGGGGAGAGGGAGCCCTGCTAGCTTCCCCCACATACCTTCAGAGACCTTCCTCTGGCTGTCTGGCCTTGGGGTTGGGGTGGGGGAGGTGGGACTGGGACTCCAGATCTTTGTTTTGCGCTCTCTGTCTCCCATGACTCAGCCACGTGGCCCACCACCCTGTGGCTGACCTCTGGAAGGTCCATCAGAACCCTCCCCTGGCGGAGTACCCCTGCCTCAAAAACGCAGTTGTGTCCATTTGAACTGGGGTAGGAAGGAGTGGCACGGTGAGCAGGTTAGCCCAGCTCTGCCACTCTGTTTCTCCTTTCCATGTATCATTAATCTTGGCCACAGCCTCGGCACCGCACCGGCACCGGGAGAGGACCAAAGGACCAACTTTTGAGAGACCTAGGGTGAAGACACTGCATGCCACTTTTTAGGGTTTTGTTTTGTTTTTTAAAGAGAAGCCCGTTAGATGCAGACTTTGATGCTGCCTTCTTCCTGCCAGACACCAGATCCAAGTACTGGATTTCTCCTAAATGCAAACAGCACCTCCTTTGAAGGGCTTTACCTCAAATTCAGCTCCACTCTCTTTTAAATAACCCCGCTCTTGAGAAGATGCTAAGAGGAATATATATATATATATAGTGTGTGTGTGTGTGTGTGTGTGTGAAGATGGTGAG